GCCAGGCCACTGGGAATTGTCCCGGTTCTCCCGATGGCAAGACACGCAGAACGCGCAAGATTCATATATTGTCTTTTTGCGGCTTAATATTCACAGACACTAGTCCATATCGCGCTTTGATTCAAGTGTACTGACCTACTTTTGATTTATTCGTCCAAAATGTGGCATATTCCGCCCGCGTTAGACTATAGGACTTCTGTTTTTATGACTGGATTCTACAAACCAGTCTTGTGTTTTCCGCATCGCGGAAATTATAGGGCCATATGTCAGAGTAGTCAGTGCAATTTGGGAAATAAATCAATTAAATCTGTATGTGGATGTGTGTAAATATTCAAATGTATTCCCCTTTGTAATCGTTAACATTTTCATAAGTAACTGTAATTTAATTACACATTTTTTCTTAGTAACTGTAACTGATTACAGTTACATTTATTTTGTAATTAAATTACGTAACGCCGTTACATGTAACTAGTTACTCGCCAACACTGCTCATTTTTGCCTAAAGCAGCATCGTTTGCGATCGCAAATGCATCGTGACAAGCTCAGTGACCAAATTAATTGAAGATGAATCCAAAATGTTTTCAGTCAATAATAAAAAAAATAGAAAAAAATATTGTAATATTGTACCCAATATGCGTGTTCTATGCATATTTATGCTTATTAGAGCGTTGCATTGTTTAAAAATAAGCTAACTGCAAACACTTACTGTATGACACAGGTTTCAGTAAAGATACTGACTTAAATGTGGCTAAAATAATTAATTATGAATTTTACAACTATCCAACCTTAGCCAAATACATGCATTACACTCACGTAAACCAATACATATTATATAGCTAATAATGGCTGCGTGATTGTTTATACTGTCGTAAAATGTAACTATATTATCGCCTGGCAATATATTAAAAGTTGGATATACAACTTTTACACATACAATACACTCACGTGATATACTATATAGCAAATCTATGCTGCACGATTGTTTATATTGTTGCAAAATGTAATTACATTATAAGCCAGTTCTTTATATAAAGTTGTATATATATATTTTTAAGTCAGTATAGCCAACTTGATTTGCAGTATACATTCAGTTATTCGCATAAATGCACTCACTTACAATACAGCGATATACATTATGTAGCAAATCTCAATTGCGTGATTTTTTATATTGTCGCAAAATATGACTATGTTATCGCACAGCTTTATATATAAAGTTCGATATATAGTATATCCTAATTTATTCGCATATTTTTATTCACGTAAAGCGATATATACTATATGTATACTAGATGTAGCAAATCTCAACTGCTTGATTGTTTATCTTGTCGCAAAAATATTATCACTTAGCTCTTTATATAAAGTTGAATATACACATTGTACATACATACTTATGTAAAGTGGTATATACTATATAGCAAATCTTGTCTGCTTGATTGTTTATATCATAAATCTAAGTGCGTTTATGTCAAGCGATATATATACTATATAACAAATCTTAACTGTGAGTTTATATTGTGGCAAAATGTAAATATATTGTTGCTCAGCTCTTTATATAAAGTGTATATGTGACCCTGGACCACAAGACCAGTCATAAGGGTCAATTTTTTTAAATTGAGATTTATGCATCATCTGAAAGCTAAGATAGGACAATATTTGGCTGAGATACAACTATTTGAAAATCTGGAATCTGAGGGTGCAAAAAAATAAAAATATTGAGAAAATCACCTTTAAAGTTGTCCAAACTAAGTCCTTAGCAATGCATATTACTAATTAAAAATTAAGTTTTGATATATTTATGGTAGGAAATTTACAAAGTATCTTCATAGAACATGATCTTTACTTAATATCCTAATGATTTTTGGCATAAAAGAAAAATTGATCATTTTGACCCATACAATGTATTGTTGGCTATTGCTATAAATATACCTGTGCTGCTTATGACTGCTTTTGTGCTCCAGGGTCACATATAAGTATAGGTCACATATAAGGTATAGGTATATATAAGGTCACACATATACACTCACATAGCCATATATACAACATAGCAAATCTCAACTGCTTGATTGTTTGTATCATCACAAAAAGTAGCTATATTATTGCACAACTCTATATTATATAAAGTTGGATATATAATATATCTTATGTAAAGCAATATATACTATATAGCACATAGTGAAGATATTAGGATATTATAAACATTAACATCATGATTTTCTGTAAAGCTTGACTAAAGGCAATTTGGTGAATCTTTATCCTCATCTCAGCAGTAATCCATAAAGCATGTTCAGACTATATGGTCTGCTGTGGAGCCGATCACTCACTCTCTTGTTCTGGAAGTAAAACGGATCGATGTCCTCCAGAGGAACGCCCACCAGTCCAGGAGGAATGTCTCCAAAGATTCGCGGGAGCTGCTTTCCGGCCTCCAGGTCGGCGCGGGACTTGAGCGGCTCCACGTCGCCCAGGTCCTCCTGGTACTTCTTGGCATTGCGGGCCTCCTCCTCGGCGATCCGCTGCTCGATTCCAGCCAGGGACTCAAGAGTGAACCGGTGTAGACTGTCAGGACCCGGTGGAAACAGTATGGCTGCCATCTTCTCATCCTGAGCCTCCTGTCTAAGTGGTTACTTCACAGCTGGTGAGGAGAGAGGAACGTACTGTATTATTGCGTTCAGATTGCATTCTCAATTTCATCGAAATATCAGCTTTATCTCAGATATTTCTTTTTCTTTTTCTTCCATCATATTATACTTTTACACAGAGATTGGTAGGTCTGTTAGTAAAATCTCTTAACTCTAGCAATCTTTGTTGCAGTATTTGCTAAATAAAACAAAACACTTTTTGAGATTTTTCCAAAGTTTGCATTGCTGTAACTCAAGAAGTATTAAAGATATCCTAATATCCTTTTCGATGTTTGTTTTTAACAAACGTTTCTTTTAGCATCCTCACTTTTAAGCTCCTATATGATTCAAGTTCAGAGATATTGGGATCTCAATGTGGCTCCAAGAGTAAATTAGAAATTTTCACCTGAGATTTGGAGCTAAATTACGGGGACATGAAAATTACTTTAGAAAGATAGCAGCATCATTATTTTAGTTTTACACAGAGATTGGTAGGTCTGTTAGTAAAATCTCTTAACTTTAGCAGTCTTTGTTGCAGTATTTACCAATGGTGACAGTTCAAAAATGAAACAAACAAAAAAAACTTTTCGTTTTTTTACCCCCAAAGTTTGCATTGCTGTAACTCAAGAAGTATTAAAGATATCCCAATATCATTTTCAATGTTTGTTTTTAACAAACTTTTCTTTTAGCATCCTCACTTTTAAGCTTCTATATGTTTCAAGACCAGAGATATTGGGATCTCAATGTGGCTCCAAGAATAGATATGACATTTTCACCTGACATTTGTTGCCAAATTACAGGGGCAGGAAAATGACTTTAGAAAGATGGCAGCATAATAATTTTAGTTTTACACAGAAATTGGTAGGTTTACTAGTAAAATCTGTTAACTTTAGGAATCTTTGTTGCAGTATTTGCTAATGGTGACAGTTCAAAAATGGGGGGAAAAACACTTTTTGAGTTTTTTTCCAAAGTTTGCATGGCTATAACTCAAGAAGTATTAAAGATATCCTAGCATCCTTTTACAAGTTGGTTCTTAATATGTTTTTCTTTTAGCATTCTCATTTTTAAGGCCCTATATGATTCAACTCCAGAGATATTGGGGTTTAAATATGGCTCCAAGAGTAAATATCTGAAGACTGAAGACTTGAGTAATGGCTGCCGAAAATTCAGCATTGTATCACAGAAATAAATTACATTTTTAAATATATTAAAATAGAAAACAGTTATTTTAAATTTTTTTTTTTTTTTTAATCTAGAGGAAGTTATATGGGTTTATTTCTCAGGAAAAACATCTTTGCAAAACATCACGAAAAACTTCTTAAGAAAGAAATTAATTAAAAGAAAGTTCGTGGTAACTTTAAGAGGTTATTTACAATGATTTTTAAGAAAATTATTTCAATTCTTCTCAAGTTCTGTTTTCAGAACAATTCTAAGAAAAAAAACCTGATTATTCTAAAAAATGTTTTTGGATTCCAAAATATTCTTAACTTTATTCTTAAGTTAGAAAATAAGAAGAAAATAGCTGGTAATAAAAGAATTAAAAGAAATAATTTTATTCTTAAGAAACCTTTGTGAATCAAAAGACCAGTTGCTCTCCATTGTTGCCTATGAGAAACAATAGAGTTGTTTTGCAAACTCCATGAACTTCACTGCTCGTAATTATCTTCATGAAGCCACCAGAACCGTGTCCTGTGTTTGATCTTTATGTTTTGATCCACGTGTCTCTCATTCAGACTCATTACAGCAGCTGGTCTGTAGTGCCATCGTTTCGCTCATTTGGACGAGAACAAACAGGACACTCTCTCTGACGACACGAGTGCGACTGATGCTGCTGCGTGTCTGTAAATCAGAAGATACTATTATCCACATCAGACCAGCTCCAGAGCCGAGCTGTGCTCTTAACACAGATCGGACCATCTGTTCCTCCGTTCCACTGAATGACTGGACGAGAGATCATTTCTCATCTGTTCGAGCATGCGGCCACAAATCTCACGGCACAATGGGAACATCTGCACTGAACCTCTGAAATCTGAAAAGCTCAAACAACAGCTCACCGTCTCAACAAGTGGCTCCTTCAAACCTCAGCCAGATGTTTAGTCTAAACATTCAGAGACATTAGAGTTAGGAGATGATGATTATGGGCCAGTCGATGGTAGAAATGTCTCAGATGGTAGAGATTTTGCTATACCACAGTACTATAGTATCTGCGTGGTTAGCAGTGCCATTTTAGTATTTTTTAGTAATATTTTGAATTAGATTTTATTTTTAGATTTGAATTTTTAATTTTCAGTAATTTTGTCAAACGTGTTTTCGTCATTTTTTTTTTTTTTTTAAGCAGAAGAGACTTTTTTTCAAAAACAATAAATTAATTATTTATTAATTTAATTAACTTTATTATTCTAAACTTTTGACCAGTAGTATATGAAATATGAATTTTCATTGCAGACTTTGGTATATTGGCAAATCTGAGTTTGAGACATTGTATAGATTATATAGGCTCCTTCAAACCTCAGCCAGATGTTTAGTCTAAACATTCAGAGACATTAGAGTTAGGAGATGATGATTATGGGCCAGTCGATGGTAGAAATGTCTCAGATGGTAGAGATTTTGCTATACCACAGTACTATAGTATCTGCGTGGTTAGCAGTGCCATTTTAGTATTTTTTAGTAATATTTTGAATTAGATTTTATTTTTAGATTTGAATTTTTAATTTTCAGTAATTTTGTCAAACGTGTTTTTCGTCATTTTTTTTTTTTTTTATATTACTATTTAGGTTGAAATTATTTTTTTTTTATTTATTTAGCTAGTCATTTTAGTATTTTAACTTTAACTTATATTTCAGCCAAGACAATATTTCCAATTTTTCATCCAATGCTACTATTTTATTTTATTTTATTTTATTTTATTTTTTACACTTGTTATTAACATTAGTTCCAGTTCTAATGGTTAACATTAGTTAACATGAACTAATAATTAAAATATTACTAAAGCATATTTAATTTCTAATCATATTCCAATACATTGTTAAAATCAGAAATTGATTAATTGTTTGATTATTTATTACACCTGAGCTAACATAAACTAACATTATTAATAATAATAATAATTATTATTATTATAATTATTATTATTATTAAATCTGTTTTGCTCATTTTTAGTTAATGTTATTTGAGCTTTCATCATTAATGGGAACTTTTTGTAAAGTGTTATCATTTCAATTAACAAAAAAATAATATATATATATTTTTTTTAAGACTTGCAAAAAAAAAAAAAAGCATTAAAATTTAAGTGACTTTATGCTTAAAACAAGAACAAAAATGTCTGTCAGTGGGGTCAGAAAAATAATTTAGTTTTCCCTTTAAATTACGCTGATTTTCTGACCCCATTTGCACGTCTTTATTCTTGTTTTAAGCAAAAACTTTTTGATCAAAAAATTTTGATCAAAAAAAGTCATTTTGCTTCTGAAGTAAATGTATCTTGATTTAAGAATATTTAGATATTTGTCCTGGAAAACAAGACAGAGATACTGAACATAGCAGTGGGTCTTAAATGGACAAACACCAGTAATATTCTCTTTTTTAACTCTAATATTACAAACAGACTCGTTCTGTGTTCTAGCACTCCTGGGAACGAGGGGTTAAGCAGATTTTGGCAAGCGCTCCCGTCTTTCCTCAGCACAATCCCACTCTTTATTTCCATACCATTTGAGGAGCGCCACCCGGAAGGCCGTGGAGCCACATTGTGTCCAGCAGAACTGAACAAAACCCACCGCGCTGGAATTGTTTTGTGGCCTCGCAGCAGTGTTTCTGACTGTGGTTTCTCCTTTGAGAGCGAGCGAAGCCTGCAGCATCTGCACCCACACACATCCTTCAGAGCAAGCTGCTGCGCTTCATTCCAGCCGAATATTAATCATGCATTAGACACATTAGAGCGGTTTTCATTTCTTTACTGATATTATGATAAAAAGTGAATGGAATATAAAAAAATATGCATGTAAAGTATGTGCATACAATCAGTATGTGCATTAGACACATTAGAGCGGTTTTCATTTCTTTACTGATATTATGATAAAAAAGTGAATGGAATATAAAAAAATATGCATGTAAAGTATGTGCATACAATCAGTATGTACATTACTTACCATTGATATTTGTGACCCTGGAGTCTTAAGTCGCTGGGGTATATTTGTAGCAATAGCCAACAATACATTGTATGGGTCAAAATAATTGATTTTTCTTTTATGCCAAAAATCATTAGGATATTAAGATCATGTTCCATGAAGATATTTTGTAAATTTCCTACCGTAAATATATAAAAACTTAATTTGTGATTAGTAATATGCATTGCTAAGAACTTCATTTGGACAACTTTAAAGATGATTTTCTCAATATTTTGATTTTTTTTGCATCTTTTCGCATTTATCTCGGCCAAATATTGTCCTATCATAACAAACCATACATCAATGGAAAGCTTATTTATTCAGTTAAGAATTTGAAAAATTGACACTTAAGACTGGTGTTGTGGTCCAGGGTCACATATTATTAATAGATTAATAATATTACTATAGTAGTATAAATATATTAATTATGAAGTAATATTTGTATTATTAATCAATTACATATACACTGTATATAAAAGCTTCATGCTTAAATGACAGAAATCATTTTTCTGTTCTGATATAATACTTTCAATAATAAGTGAATATGTAAATAATGTAAAAAATAATAAGTGAATATCACTATGTACATTATTTAATTGAGAGATATATTATTAACATATTACTAATATTATTATAGTAATATGAATATATGAATAATATATATTCCGTTTTTATTAATTATTTTTAGTTTATTTATTTATTTTATTAAAGCTTTTCATCTAAAATGTAGTTTAGTTTTAATAGCCAAACAGGAATTGTGCATATATGCGCTGTAAAAATGAATAAATAATAATAATAATAATAATAATAATTAAATAATAATAATAATACATTT